ATAATTTATGGCTCGCTGTTTAAAACCTTCCTGGACCAATTTCACTTTTGCACTTTTTGTCACCTTTCAGCTCTGAAATGGAGGCTGATCTAAACACTGTTAAGGCTCATCTATCCTCTCTTGAACTTCCCTGCTGGATTGCAAACATCACCACAAAAGAACCCAAATATGGCTTAAACCTAGGCTTTGGAAGGGGGAGGGGACCTGCCAAGCCTGAACTCAGTGCTCAGGCTTCAAGAGCTCTGCAAGAATGTGGTTAAGAAAAGGAAAGGAGATTCATTCCTGGTGAATGCAGCTTGAAATATATACTTCAAAACTTAAATGAATAGGTTTTCAGTTACAGTGTGGTACAGAGAAGAGTAGATGTGGAACAACTGCTTACACAGACATAAAGCAGTCTCTCATTCTCTCACTCTCTGGGTCCCTTAGGATGTGGTTGGACAGATGGATACACATATGTGCAGAGGAATCCTCAATAAAAAAAAGCCTAAGACAACAGAAAAGATCTTATGTGACACAAATGTGATGGGGTTCTTTATTAATGAGGCTGAAACTATAATTAAACATTTGTTGGGCATGTCATTTACAACAATTAGATGTTTACTACTTTATTATTTTTCAGGCACATCTTTCTGTCTATTTTTATATAGAGATTACTTGGCTCATCATTTTTATACATAACTAGCTGAGAGGAAAACACTAAAGACTTGAAATAATTTTTAAAGACAGTAAATCTCATTGAGCTTGCAATAGATTGTTTTCAAAGAAAGCATTTGGCAGCAGCTACTGTGACAACTTGTTCTAGTACTCTTAGCATTACACTGTGCATGCTGCATCTTGTGTTTCCCATAAATGCTTGTGACAAAAGCAGCAAACAGCTCAGTAATACAATACCGGATAGAGGTTTACAATCTTTACATAATACCTATATCTATGCAGTGAAATACTGCATTTATAGCCACAAAACATTGCCTAGAAAGCTATAAAGATTGAAAATAACATTTTAAAGAGTCTTGAGATAAGTTAACTTCTCAGTTTTCCACACGTTTTAATGGGAATTGAGGACTTGCTCCTTTCAGAATTTTAGGAAATCCCATCTAAGAGAGAATTTATAAATTCTGTTCCAGTTACACTGCACCTGATTTCACTTCCTAATGAGCACAAGGTCTGAGCATTACCATATTTTTTGCTGAAGGTCTCTGAAATCTCAGTAAATCCCCAATAACAGCCCCAGACTTCCAAGTTCTCTTACTTCTGTAGCTTAGACATAGTCATAGAGTAGGAGGGAAGCAAAGACACTCATTGTGCCAATAGCTTGCATTTATCACAGGCCTCTGTTTTGACCTAGAGATGTTGTTGACAGGGTAAAGGAAACCTGAAACTGATAAATTTGGACTTTTGCCTCAGGATAGAAGACATTTGGCTGCCTGAGATGCAGCACATGCGTGCATAATTTATGCTTACAGGATATCTCACACCAGTCATACATGTGCTATATGCAGGTATAACTTATATCTATTCACCTTGTCTAACAGATCTGTATATGTGCATCTGCTCAGCAAATACACATGGCCCCTGTGCATCCTAGATACATCAGATGCATACACACCAATGTTATATATAAGTGTTTTGTAAGACTGACATACCACTCTGCGCAGGTCGCTCTGCTACTCCAGCAGATGTGTTACATACCCACTGCACTGGATTGAGGCTACATTTATGATAATTCATTAAACATACCATCCTCTGTCACTGAGACAACCTTACAGAGTAACTCACATCCATGTCATAAAATTATTTTTACCCTCCCAGATAGATCAATGGTGTCCGAAGTATTCAGTGGAAACAGTCCATGGTCAAGTCATCACTAGAGGGAAACCATTAATTGCACTGAATCAACTCCATAAGAAAATAGTTATAATAGTTCACCAATACAGATGAATGAGTTCCCATGCCCACGTGCCCTGGTCTTTTTAATTCATGGTACAGCATAAATGTACTAACTCATGCATGTGCATAGATTTCTATACTGAAAAACACCCAGGATTAATCTGACAGTTAAAGATCAATTAACATAGAGATTATTGGGATCTGCTATTGCTAAGATCACATGGTGGGCAATTAAGCTTAAGAATTAGCAGCTGCAGAAGTAATACCCAAGTCTCTTTTTGTAACCTTCAGACAACACAGCTCTTTAGCTTTCTCCTAATATTCTTAGATTAATGTGACAGTCACATTCTTTTCTGCCTGATGTTGTCCAGTGGTACATGAATTAAGAGGCCAACCAACCCTAGACAACACCATGTCCAAATATAAAAGACCTTTCTGAAGTGTATTTTACATTTTAAAAAAGTAAAAAACCAACAGCTACTCAGAAAAATAACCTTTCATATCCTTGCACATGACCTCAAAAAAGTCATAGTACATTAACTGCCTGTCATTCCCTTCGTTGTAAACACCTTATTTTGGTAATAGAATAAGACATCCAGAATTATAGGTAAATTAGTGCATAGGATCAGATCGAGGATAACTTTGAACATTTTCCACATGTAGTTGAAATCGTCTTACAAGCAGATTTTGCCAAATTACATGTATGCAGGCTGCTAGCAAATAGAGCAAACGTTGTCAAGTACAAGGATATTTATAAACCCAACATTATCTGAGATATACCCAGCAGAATTGCTTACAAAGAGCTTTAAAAAAAATAAATCAGTAACAGCTACACCAAAAACCTACTTGATTATTATTTTTTTAACCTGCTAATTGCTTGCAGGCCTGCCTATCCACCTACCTGCAGAATTTGAGTTTGACATCACTGAATATACTCAAAGGGATTTCAAAGGTAACTATTTCAACTACTTGATGCTGGGAAATGGAAAGTACAATAGGCAGTTACCTATACCATAGTCATTTAGCAGCAGTTGACAAGAAAATGACCTGGTTAGGATTAGTAACATAGGAGGCAATGCAACAGGGCTTGTACATTATGGCCAAAATGAAGGACCTGATCCCACAGCAGCAACATCATGTTCTACTACTCTCCTCTCAATGATTCTGCCCTAGGCAACATGCTAGGTGACACTGACCACCAGAGGAAGACACCCATACTGGGAACTCAGAGTACAAGCCTGTAGATATGAAACAGCCACTGACTTGGTGAATGGATTGTAGCCTGGCAGAAATAGCCCCCCATCTGCTTCATACAGGCAAAAAGCAGCCCTTCGGCAGAGCAGCTCTGACCTCAGAGACCAAAGAGATACTGTAAAACATCCTTTACCTTGCCTGGGCAGAACCTTCTTAGATTTTCCTTTTTCTATGCAGCACAAAGGAAGACATAGCAAGATGGGATGTAACTTCAGCTGTTACTGGGGCTGCAGTCACTACCATGAGTTATCATTCATCAAATGAGTCAACATCCAAAGTTACCACTTAAGCCCTAAGGAGACTTCAGCATCAAGAAGATTTATGCCAAGAAACTTATGATTTGGTTTACAATAGTGCAGTCTGACAAAAGTAAGTGCAAAACAGTTGCCAAGAAAAAGGACAAGGAGTAAATCAACACAGTAACATTGATTTCGTTTAGTTCACCTGTTAGTTTGCTAGATATCTGGGAAGAATTCCATATAGATTTATCCCAGGTATGTAAAGTCTTCCTTGGTCACCATTATAGTTCTGACAGGGTTTCTCTAGAATTCCTTACAATGCTTTTCCCTTCATGAGAAGTCCAGACTTCAAGTACTTCTAAACAATTTCAAATTCCAACTAATTACCTGAATAACAAATCATTTTCTAATCTCATTTGTGAGTGTTGTAATTCAGCTAGAAAAAGTAAAATATAGTGAGATTTCTAAGCCAAGGCTTTTGTGAGATATCACAACGCAAACGTATCAGAAGATTTTGGAACAAAAAGTTTAAAAACAATTTAACATTTACCTCATCTTTTAAGACAGGTATTTCTGAACAAATATAACAACAAACAGAGAAGGGATTGCAACCTTCAACCAATGAAAGAAAATAAGTTTTCTGCATGGATTTTGGCAAAATATAAAAGAAAGCTATAAGAACTAATTTTCTCTCAGGAGCTAAGCAACTTGAGAAGACACCCTGGTTTCTGCAGGAATTTTCCAGATCAGAACAGCTTAAGTGAGTCTACCTACTTGAGCTGCAAATACAGTAATTAGTGACTAGTGCTGATTGTCAACAGCTAGCAGGGATAATGCTGTTCAAAGGTCCTTATTTATACTTGAATCATCTGATGTTGTCCAGGAGACGTTCCACATAGAGACACACCAGAAATACTCTTCTAGTGCAGTGCATTATTTTTCTTGCTTTCCTTCACTTCTAATCAATTTTCTACAGCATTATTTCACTTTCTTTTACAAAGTATGCCTATCTACAACAAAATGCTACAGAATGAGAGAAATCTCACTCACTTGCCATGAGTGACCTGCTTATAACTTACATGGACTAACATTAAAGTTAGTTTGACTTATATAGCCAACAAAGACTTAATGCATTTGCAGAGGTGTAATCTGTCTGTTATTTCTAGAGTGTCCTGCTCAATGTACAGTATTTTTTCACGTTTGCATATCACATGGCATGCAAGACTGAAGCGTATGGTTGCTGCATAAGAAACTATAGTTCTGTTGAGTTAGAAATAAGCAGAGTATGAACTACAACTAAATGTTGATTTTTAGTAGAATTCCTGAGTACAAAACTTTATGATAGAGTTAAAGACAGATATCTTACATTATAAAATGTGAAAATGCAAAGGGACAGTTCTGGTTTATCACGCTGTAAAGAGCCAACATATTTCAGACACACTCTGGGTCTGAACTACAGTAACTATTAAGTCTCCAAACCTAGATACCCACTTGAGGATCTGCTTCACGATGGAAAGCACAACAACAGCAGAGCAGTTAAACATAGGCTGCAGCAAGCAAGAATTTACTTAAACACAACAGCAGAACACACAGAAATAAAGAAAAGAGGCTGCTTACCTTTAGAAGACCTCAGATAGAAAGGAATCTCCACCAAAATACCCTTACCTCCACTGCCAACACTTAAATGAGGTCTGGGAAGGGGTGTATCCTGGCTCCACCCCTTCTGGTCACTCAGGTACATTGCATGCACCTGAGCTCCCCTGAGTTGGCTCTGCCTTCCAACCATGTGCTCAATCACTGGTTCAAGCCATGACTTAGCATTTCCACTATATTGTCTCAATTTGGAATGTTATAAATTACTGTCAGCTATGTTTACAGAGAACCTTTATGTTATTCTTTCAATGGGATTAGGACCCATAAGTAGTCATTAGAATGGATTGTTGCCATGAAAATTCATTTAGCGTTGTAACCCAATTGCCTGTGTTCAATTGCAGGTAAAAGCAATATCAGAGAACGTCAGATAAGTATACAAGAAACTACTGTAATATGCATGTAAACAGGGACCTGAGATATCTGAATGTATCTGCTAGAAAATAAATAAAGCAGTAAGATTAAGCTAGTGTAGTCCAAAACTGCACGGAGAACCAGTTCATGGGACCACTTTAATAAAAAAGTGCATTTGGGCCAAAACAGAACAGAGCTAACTATAAATTTTGGAAAAGAGGACAGATTATGAAATTGTACACAATAGAGACCAGTACAGAAAATCTAACGTTTATGTAAAAGTTCGCTACATAAATGAGAAAATATGTATTTATTTAGGTTTGCTTTGGTTTTGAACTCGTCACATACCATTTAAGTAGTTATGTTATCCTACCATCGTGACAATCAGAAAAGGAATAGTTGAAGAAACTCCATAATTACATTTTCTTCTAAATAATATTAATAAAATTCCCCTCCAGTTTTTTGCTCCCTTCTCCAGTTACTGTTGACCTTTTTCTCTGGGGTTAGCTGATTCATTCAGACATGCAATACAGCGTAAATGAGCACGTTAGCCTAGTGTGTGTACTCCTCTCCGCCGCTGGAGATCATGAACAATGTATACAGACTTTTGAAAACAATGTTCCCTTAATAATATTGTTCACACTCCTATGACACTGGCTGTTGTTTCTCTTCCCAAATTATATTGTCACTGAACATTCTTTATCTCAATCCATGAGTTTCCTTGTTCCTCTTATTCCTATCGCAGTCCCACTGGGGGAAGGAAGAGAATGAGCGGTCAGCTGAGCCTGCTGCTTACCAAAGTTGCAGCAGATCTCTGAGAAGTTCATCACCTACCTAATTTCAGCTCTCAGTAGATACAGTTCAGATAGTGAGGCTAAGACTTTTTTTCTCATCTCCCTCTAGAATCAATTGAAATGCAGAGATAACAGCTAAGCTCATATGCTTCGGACTGCCCCAAGGGCTGACTTGCTGCCTTTGCCAATCCCTCTCTTCTCTCACTGTCTGCAAAGGAAATCTAGAAAATATGTGAGGTGATAATGGTAGTTAAACCAACTGACAATTGTGGAATTGGCATGAGAAAACCTTTCAGTATTTTCCTCCCTACTTGAGTAGGATTTGAAGTCCAAAACAAAACAAGTCTGCCAAAACAAAAATAATACATGCACTGTCACATGAGTTTGTCAATAAAGGTGCACTGTGTTTTCCAGATAATTGTTCAAGGCCCATCTCCCTGTAAGGTTAGCATACTAATGCCACAAAAAGGGCTTTTAGTCTCTAGAACTAGAAAGGAAATCTTAAAAATAAGGCACTTAAATCTGCTGAGTGAAACAGATTAAAATCAAATGTTTGAAAACAATGCCCTTCTCTAACCCAGCATATTTTCACAGCATGAGTCCTTTCCTCCAGCTTTGCTCTCCAGTCCAACAACTTTCCATAGCTTCTTCCATTGCCATGACTTTGCAGAAGATCCCCTGGAGTTTTGGGTGGGCTTTCTGATGCAAGCTGGCATGTAGCTGCCTTGAGGAGCCCTGCAGGCTTTGGCAGTGTTGCAGACTTGTTGCCTATTTTGCCCTTGCTCTGGCAGCTTGGACTCTGGAAGTCTCCCTCAACTCTGTGTTCATTGTCAGAAAAGAGGCGTTTGTCCCTTTTCCCACTGAATTATGCACGAACCTCTGCAATATAAGAAGATAGTCTACTATGTCAGTCCAAAGTCATGTTATTTTATCAAAATGTTACATGCTGTTCAAACTAAACTGTGAGCAGGTAAGTAAGACAACTCATCCACGACAACCAGACCTACTATGCACTTTTTCTGAGCTTGATGTGCACAGGAGGCATTAACTTCCATTGCAAGTGCAAGAGCAGAGGATGTTCAAGGGATTCATCCATCGCTTTCTGGAACCTGTGCAGTTGTACAGTGCTGGCTGACTGTGTTTGGCCCCCATTGTGCATGCAGCTGCCTAGACAAGTGACACATCTAGAGTCTCCAAATGAAGAGCAGTCTGATAAAATCATCTGCCCTATGAAGGCTGCCAGTCAGCCCAGGCATGTATTAATTTTCTTCAAAGTCCACCTGCAAATAAATTCAAGATGAAAAACATATGTGCCTGGAAAAACCTGGATGTAAGCGGAGTTCTCAGGTTGATTACTTGTTAGCAGCTCCCAGCTTAGCTCACTGAAATCCTAGAACCATATCTTCATGAAGTTCAAACACAGAAGTGACAGCAATATAGACAGACACTTTATATATATACCACTGAAACAATAGAAAGAGTTGCATTCCTCAAACCAGTTGTAAGTTGCAAAAGGAAGTGTTGGAAACATGAGGTAAAATATTATTTATGGATATTGGTAATGTACAGTATGGATTTTTTTGTGCATTCATTTGTATTTGATTGACTGCTTGTTTAAATAGAACAGATAGTGCTTGGCTTTTGCTTTGTATATTTTCTACTTATCACATTGTTTTGGCTTTTAAACACAAAGGAACAAGAAAATAAAATTATTTTGTATTGAGTACAGCTTTTTACCTCTTATGTCTCTACCTTTCATCCTAGGATATTGCAATACACCTGTATTAAAAACCCAGCTCTATTGGTGGAAAACAGTCTACCTTCACAGGAATACCTCTTGGGTATTATTTCTGCCTCTTTTTTGGAGGGAAATTGAATAGGGAGAAAATTATGTGCATGCTGAACTACAAAAGAGTATCTTGCACAAAAATGACTGAACAGAAGAAAAAGGAAAAGAATTCAATTTCTCTGCAGGTTGCTGCTGTGTCTCTGGTGCTCATCAGTAACCTTCCAGAGTGATAATCTGAGATTCAACCCCAAAAAGGATCAGTCAGGCTGGCAAATTGAATGTTAAAAATTCACTGTGACAGCAGAATATGGGATATAAACTTCAAATCCTGAAATGGATCATTGTTGCATATATGTTCAAAGATCCTTTCTGCTGCAAAACAGAAGTGAAGCTGTATCAGTAGCTAACATTATTTGAAAAGTTGTGCTTTTTCTCTTCAATTTTCTGACGCAATTCCTCAAGAAAATGCTGCCATGAGCAGGTCTCTGCTTTGTATACGCTGTTGTTGAGCGTTACATGTATTCTCTTGCTAAAAATAATGCTGACAAAACATGTGAAGGGAGGGTAAATTTTGTGCACTCAGAATTACTATGTCTGGTACTGGGGAAGAAATAATGTGTTTTAGAATATAGATTGTGACCATATGCCATGCAGCTCTTCTAATTGTTCCTGTTTTTATTTCTGTTCTTTAGACAGTTCTCATACTGGAGAGCTCCTGGAAATCATTTTGGAATCAGAAATTCTTTCTGTATAAAAAATTTGAGACTTCCTGCAGCTGTGGGATGTAAGCCAGCAGACAGGAGATTTGGCCTTTCTTGCCAACTTCTGCACAGTGCGTGGTAGTAGAAAGAACCATAACATTGTCCAATTTTGATATGGATCTTTTCCACTTAAGAAACATGGCAGCAATGAGTGTTAGCCACCAGAACAGAGAAAGTGCACCACTGACTGTAGTATTTAAATTCCAGGAAGGAGTGGAAGATACTGAGTAAATGTAGCAATCAGTAGACAGTTGTTAACTGTCTAGTGTCTTTTTACTGTGTCTTTGGATGCCGAATGGATTGGCTGGCACAAACTTGATTTCAGAACATACAGTATACATTAGGAAAGTGTTCAGGTAAGGGCTAAATATTGAGTGCTACAACTCGCAGTACTCCTGATGATCAGCAAGCCCATCCTGTGGCAGCTTGGCTTCTGTTCTGTAAGGGAAAGGATTGTATTATTTCACTGTATTTTTCCTTCTGTGAGGAAATGTGACATTTGTCCTTTATGAGTTACCTTAGACCACTGTCTCTCCTCCCATTCTGTAAATCAATCCAGAGAAACTACTGAAGGTCATCCAGCATACCTTAGAACATTAAATGCTTGTGTATAACCAGCTGTATGGGTATTGACGGAGTCTACAGATATTAAGCTGACCATTGCTATTGGCTGAAGTAGTGGAGCGATGTAGGCTCCAATGACTCCTTTAACTAAGGTGTCAGTGAGTCCTCAGGCACTAATTCATGTACAAAACGTGAATAAAGAAGGAGCTGAGTCTCACACTCCCAGAATGTAGTCCAGAATGATTTACTTGGATCTTTATTGACTTTTAGCCATACTGTCATGCCAGGGGGGAAACGAGTCCTCTCTTCTAATTAGAAAACAAAAGCAATATTTCAGTTTTGCAGTCCTACATTTTTGGTCATTTCAGTATGAAGTATATGGGTTTACGCCTTAGAATGATTAGAACAGCTCTAGCCTTGATAACAAATTCCAGACTAAAACTCTTTCATTTAGCAGAAATAAAGTTTCTAAATAGAACAGCAGCTCTGAGCACATGTCCACAGACTCCCTGTCTACATGCCACAGGCTGGATTCCTTCAGTCAGAACATTTGCCCAGGCTCTGCCTGCAAGCTCAGCACATTGTAGTTGAGGGAATGCTGACTGCCACAACCAAACCTCTGGTCCCTTCTTCCTTTTTCTCTGAGACATATCCTGAAATCTCCTTGTATGTAATTAACTTTCTCAGCTACAGTGTGAGACAGCTGCAGGATTTTTATCCAATGACATGTTTGC